CTCAAGGTTGAAATGAGGGGTCCTTGGTGCACTGATGATGTTACTTAGTTAGGGTAATGAAATGTCTGCAAGAAAACAGGCAAGCTCAGAGAGTACCAAGAACCCCTCATAGGATACTTTGCTGTTTATATAGGACCGTGATGGCGAACCTATGGCACGTGTGCCACAGGTGGCATGCAAAGCCATATTGGTGGGCACGCGAGCGTTGCCCTAGTGCATGTGCGCGCCGGCCAGCTGATTTTTGGGCCTACCAGAAGTCGGGAATCAGGCGGTTTCTGGCCTCCGGAGGGCCTCTGGGGGGGGGAGGCCCATTTTTTGCTCTCCCCAGGCTCCTAGAAAGCCTCTGGAGCCTGGGGAGGGCGAAAAACGGGCCTACCGGGCCCACTGTGCCATCATGTGGCAAAAGCGGGTGGAGTGCGGGTGGTTGCGTGCGCATGCGCAAGGGGGCAGGGTACATTGAATTATGGGTGTGGGCACGCACGTGCATGACCCCCCTTCACTACCCCCACTTTTGGCATGTGAGAGCAAAAAGTTTCGCCATCACTGATATAGGATAATTCACTTTTTGGTAAATTATGTTGCCCTTCAGTTATTTTTAGTATATTATATACTTTTGGGATTATGATATCATCTCTTATTAATTAAGGGTAATTATCAACTTTTCAACCCATACTTTCCAAAAAAAGGAGAGGACTCCTCCGATTGGTCAGCTAAATAGTGCAATTGATTTTTGCACTATGAATTAAAAAACAGTGTGCAGCTATTTCTTTCTTAACATATTTTTATGCTAAAGAAAAGTAGTGGAAGAAATAGGAAGAAAAAAGTAGCAGTCAATAACTCTTTATGATGTTTGTGTGGAGAGAATTTGCCCATTAAGTAGCTTTTCTGAATCATCTCAAACATTTAGGAAGCTGATTTATGGAAGTCTGCTTTTAATCTTGAGATTGGGAAAGTTTTATTGGCAAATCTGAAGTAAAACTTGACTGTTGTGATGCAGTTACCGTGTTTTCCCGAAAATAAGACCCTGTCTTATATTTTTTTGAACCCTGAAATAAGCGCTTGGCCTTATTGCCATGTGCTCAAAAGCCCGATTGGGCTTATTATCAGGGGATGTCTTATGTTCGGGGAAACAGGGTAAATCATGTAAAATTCTGAGCTTTGTAGTCTATGTTGGAGGATGTTCCTGATTTAAAATATAGTAAATACTATTTCTGTTATTTGGAAAACTTTCTATTCTTTTTAAATGGGTCCTTGACCCTCTTCCCAAAGTCTTAATTATGATGGGGGTGTAATTTTTTTTTTACATTCTTGTCTGTTTGTTTTATTTATTTGCTTTCTACAACAGGACTGCAGAAAAGCAATTTTTAAGAGGAGTTTGTTTTTTTATAACAAGCGATAGTGGCTTTAAAATATGAATTAATTTTGTTCTTTCATCTAGTTCTTTTTTTAAACAAAAGATACCACAAGGTTTACAAATAGGAAAACAACAGAAAAATCAACATTTTTAGGAATGTTTAAGCCTGTCTAGACCTGCTGAATTTAGCACTGAGTCATTGGCAAAGGAGGAGCTCTCTATTCGTGTTTAAAAGAAAATATCTAGAAGTCATTATTAAAGAGGCAGATGTTGAATTTGTTCTGAGCAATCTGTAACAGTAATGCAGCCCATTTTTCAAATCGTCAGCATGGACTATGTTCTCTCTTATAGTGCATTTATTGTTCTGGCTTAAAACATTCTTTTTTAAAAAATATTGGGAAGGAAAAATTTCTCCCTTGACATGTCTATACAAATGCTTAAGTTCCCAAAGTTCTGTTGCTGTTACTTTGACATTCCTTTTTTTTTTTTTGCATCCCCATTTCCTGTTTATAAAAGGAGAGAGCAAAAAAATAAAAAATAAAATCCATTGCTCTTGCAAGCATCCAAATGGATCTGCAGTCAGTTGATTCCCTCAACTGATTTCATGTAGCGTCTGCCTGCTGTAGATCAGGGACGTCTGGGGAAAAGGAACAGCAGTGCCTGGAGGGCATTACTTTTGAGGTTCTTGAGATGTTGAGTGATAACACCCCAGTGCATTTGAGCCTCCCCACATTAGGTAAGAGTGCAAGCTCTCCAGGGGTGGGTTCTAAATTTTTTTACTACCGGTTCTATGGGCGTGGCTTATTTTGTGGGCGTGGCTTGATGGTCATGTGACAATTCTTTAGGATTTAGCAGAGGTATTGGTCTACCAGGCTTTTAACTGCTTGCAGAGCTGTACCGGTCTACTCATGTATTTTTGCAGGCACTGGTGTACCCATTTATTTTTGCAGGCACCAGTCTACTCATTTGTTTTTGGAGACATCCGTCTACCACCAAACTGCCTTTTACCACTGATCAGCTGTAGGGCGGCCCTTTGAAGCCCCGCGGCAAGAGTTTAAACAGTTTTTTTCCTTATAGCCCATCAGCTGGGACTCAGGAGGCAGCAATAGATTGGGGGTGGAGCCAAATAAAAGATAAGAATAATGTGGGGGGGCAGAACCGGTTCAGTGATGTCATATCGTCACCACTACCGGCTTGACCGAATCGGGAGGAACCCACCACTGAAGCTCTCTTAGTGTTCTTCTCAAAAACAAGCAGAACTTTGCAAAGGGAACTGGCTGTTTGTTAGCTCTTGCTCTGTTTCCCCAAGCCAGACCCACATTTCTGTTGGCGGTGATCTATGCATTTTGTGTGTGTGTGTGGGAGGGATATCTCCTTGTTAATGAGCCGCGGTGGCACAGTGGTTAGAGTGCAGTACTGTAGGCTACTTCTGCTGCCTGCCAGCTGCCTGCAATTTGGCAGTTCAAATCCCACCAGGCTCAAGGTTAACTCAGCCTTCCATCCTTCTGAGGTGGATAAAATGAGGACCCAGATTGTTGGGGGCAATATGCTGACTCTGTACACCGCTTAGAGAGGGTTGTAAAGCACTTTAAAGCAGTATATACCCTGTTTCCCCGAAAATAAGACTCAACCGGAAAATAAGTCCTAGTATGATTTTTCAAGATGCTTGTAATATAAGCCCTACCCACAAAATAAGCCCCAGTTAAGATTGTCAGCCAGATGAGTGTGTTTAGTACCATATTTCCCCCAAAATAAGACCTAACCAGAAAATAGGTCCTAATGTGTCTTTTGGAGCAAAAATTAATATAAGACCCGGTCTTATTTTCTGGGAAACACAATAAGTCTTAAATGCTATTGCTATTAATTGCTTTCTTAAGATGCCTGATTTCTTTTTAAGGACAGAGCTCTTTGTTTCGTGCTGAGGAGCTTTTATTTCTGGGAGGCATGGCACAGCCCTGCAGCCTTTTCATAGGGCAGGTACTAGGGTGCGATTTTGCATAATGCCATGAGTCAAAAATAAAAAACCGATGATGATACTATGCAAGTTGAGATCTTGGCCATATCTTCTTCCTGACGTAGTCCTGCTCTGCATATGTCATTGGAGAAAATATTGCATTAGTAACTAAATCAATATGCTGATTTGGCTCCTTTACCTGCTGTGACACACTCAGATTGTCCAGTCTCTTAGCAGAAAAGGGTGGGGGAAAGAGAGATGAGTCAGTTGTGAAGTCTGAATTTTGATCACATGACTCAGGGATGTTACAATGGTCATACGTGTGAAAAATGGTCTTTAGTCCAAGATATTGATTATTTTGATATATATAAATTAATTATTGGAGTTTACTTCCATCCATCCATATATAAGCATTGCTTGACCAAGGTCCATGGTATTCTCAGGGACCTTTTCACATCCTCTCCATGACCTGTTTTGAATGTTGCCTTCTGGAAGGAGACTTTGTGGTATCCGAAGCAGAACTGGATTCTGTAATAGCTCTGTGGGTGTGTGTATATAGGGGTGTGTGTAGGGGTGTATGTGTATATATATTTGTATAACTTGGCATTTTTGGATGCTGCTGGTGGGTGGCATTCCTTCTTTTGAGGAACGGTGCATCAGAATTTCATGTTCATGTGTGCGATTGTGTTTACAGGAAAATGACAATAAAGGTTATCTTAATCTTATGCTGCTGTAAAGGAAATCAGAAGCCATTTCTTTGTATCCTTTTTCTTTCTTTCCTATTTTTCTTTTCTTTTTCCCCCCTTTGTTGCAATTTCTCTTTGATTTCTTTTTCATACGTTACTGTATATTAGTTTGTTAGCCTTTGTCTTCTTTTTAAAAAAATCTTTAATTATATTTCTATATATAGAGGGAAATTGAACGATGGCCAAGGACCCTGGAAAAAGGGCAAGAAAAAACCCCAGAAATTATGGCTTTTTTACAAGCTTGGGAAATGTAGCAATAAAGTCTTCCCTAGTCAGAAGAAAAATCTGGAGCTATCCAAGTATTTCATCATGTCACAAAGGCAGGGACTGCAGTAGTTGAGACAGGAAGCAATTAAACCATGAGTCAAATACTTGAATATAGGCTGACTTGTCTTGAGAAAAAACTTCTGGTGGGATTCCCAGTTAGTTAGTGACATGTTTGTACAGAAAACTAGACAGACCAGATCAAACGATAAAGCAAGTAAATTTTAAAAAGGGTTTGCCTCTTTTAGGACTTTATTTTATTATTAAGGGTGTCCTACTTCCAAGTTTTAAAGTTCCAGATATAGTATAGGTGAGGTCCGTTTGGAGATTAATGTACTTTGGAATAGCTGCTTACAAAAACAGCATAATGGAAATGCACAAAGTATTTCTTAGAAAGACTTGTCTTCTGTATGGCTGAAGAATCAAGGGAGGCGTCATCCAGAACCTGTAGCTAACCTATGGCTGGTTGTTATGAAATAAGACAATCCCCGATTCTTTATATAGTCTTAATTTAATTTAATTTACTCTATTTTGGGACAAATAATTCAATCCAGTCTCAAGCAAGAGTTTATAAATGAAGTGTTTTGGTTTCTTTTTGTTTTTTGGGTTTTTTTGGCTGCGAACAGCTTACTTATATAAATATATATTTTTGTAATTGATGGATGTTGGTCAATTTCTTCAGGTCTCTAAAGGTAGATGAAGGGGCGTACCACTTAGATGCTTAAACCTGTGGCACTGGGCAACCAATCACAGGACCAAAGGATTCTTCTACCTTGAGGTGCAAACCTGGGCAAAGATGTTGAAGCCAAGCGGACTTAAAATTCCTGGGAGGACCGGGAAGCATGCCAGTCCGGTGGGACGTCCTGGTGCAACAGCAGCAACTGCTTCCACAACCAGCAATGCCACAAAAGAAGGTAAGATGCATGTACATCATTTTTCTCCAGAAAGATAATTGCTCAGTCTGGTTCTCAGGTCTTCCAACAATGCACCTGTTGCTTCTCAATCCATCTCTCTCTCTCTCTCTCTCTTTTTTTTTCTTTTTATTAGTTTATGATATAAAATACAAAAGCAAATAATAGGAAAAATAGGGGAGGGAAAAGGGAAGAGAAAAGTGTAGAGAAGAAGGGAAAAAAGAAAGAAAAGACTCCCTTTGGTGCGATAGAATAAGAAATAACATTGAACCTCAACTTTTTACTTTTACATAATAGTATAAACTTGAGCTTAAATGGTCTCCGGGGGATGGTAGAGGACAGGAAGGCCTGGAGGAAAGTTATCCATGGGGTCGCGATGGGTTGGACACAACTTCGCAACAAACAAATAATATAAACTAGCCATTTCTATAACAACAGATCTAATCAGTAAAACCCAAAATCAAAGTTTCATTTTTTTCCCACCTCAAGCCCAAAGTCCAGAAGCGGTTTCCAAGTAGACTTTTATCAAAGTCAATTTAGCTATCTCTGCTAACTCCCATCAGCTTTTGCATCATTCATCCATTGTGGGGGCTGAATCCATACATCTCATTGCTGGTTGTCCTATTCCTTTTCCCTCCTTCCACCTTTCCCAGCATTCTGGGTCTTCACATAATGTGTCTGAAGTAGTTTAATTTGAGCCTGGTCATTTGTATCTCAAGTGAGAACTCTGGGTTGATTTGTTTGATCAAGGAGTTGTTACCTAATTGTAATTTCTGGATGACAGAAGGGGGAGGGAGATACAGTATATCCTTGTTGTAGCTAATTTGCTTTACCATGAGCAAATGGGAGAGGGGGGTTCGTCTGTGACTGCATATGGCTATAACAGCTGCCTGTACAGTCTGCAGTGCAGACAGTTGCCCCCAGGGAGATGTTTGATGGACTGGCAGGGAATGAGAAATGGACTTCCTTAGTGGGATCATCTCATTTTCTTTAGCAGTCTTAATTTTTTGGACCCTTCAAATCAATCTTGACTACTAGACTACTGTCTGCATGAGTCCTGCCTGCATGAGTTTTCTTGGCAAGATTTTGAGAATCAGGTTGTCTTTGCCTTCTTCCTAAGATTAAGAGAGAAGAACAAGCCTAAAGGTCATCCCACTGATTGTACCAAAGGTAGAGTAGAACTCATCTCCTGGTTTCTAGCTTGGTCCCATCAACACTACACTAAACTGGCTCTCAGCAGTCTTAATACCCCATCAGATAGCTGATTCCTGTGTTGATGGAACAGTTGAACCACTCAGAAGAAGGGCACATGAGCACTGCCTTGGTCTTCTGGTATGACACCCCTCCTTTTTTTTTTTCTTTTCATCACAGAGATTTCAAAAATGCTATGAGAAGTACTATAGTTTCGTTAAACTTTCCTTGGACTTTAAAGATGATGAGTTATACTAATCTGATAATTTGATTTATACCACACAGCGATCTCCTGCTGATTAGATTCCTATCACAGAGTCACTCTGTGAGATTCTTTATACATATTTGTGGAGGGTTTTTTAAGTTATTTTTAATAAAGTGTGTCAGGATCTCTGGGTGGGCCATCTAACTGCCCATCTTTTCAGGGGTGGGCTTCAAAAATTTTAGCAAGGGGTTCTCTGCCCGGTTGCTGGGTGGACGTGGCCATGATAGGCGTGGCCTAGTCAGCCTCCTGCACCATAGGGCGGGCATTTTTGCCCTCCCCAGGCTCCGGAAGCTTTTCTCGAGTCTCTGGGAGGGTGAAAACAGCCTCCCCAGGCTCCAGAGGCCCTCTGGAGGCCGGAAACACACCCGTTTCCAGCCTTCTGGAACTTCCGGTAGGCCCGTTTTTCACCCTCCCCGAGCCTCCGTGCGCGCCCTGCACTTACCTGCATCCAAAACAGGCTTTGTGGGGACTCCTAGGAGCAGTGGGATGGGCGGGACCAGCCAGGAGTGGGATTTGGGGATTCTCTGAACTGCACAGAATCTTAGCTAGACGTTCTCACGAATCCCTGCGAACCCTCAGCAGCCCTTCCCTGCATCTTTCCTAGCAAAGGGGTGTCCCCTGACAATATGGCATCCTCCTGTTGGTTCTAGAAATTAGGGCCACCCTATAAAATCAGGTATTTTACAATGCATCTATGTGAACAGGGATTTGCATGTTCTGAAGCCACATTTCACATAGGTTGCCGTTTTGGAGAGAAAGGAGAGAATTATATATATTTTTTCTCACTAAATGTGGATTTTTTTTTAAAAAAAAATGCCAGTATTTTTGAATTAAGGAGATCTTTCTTTCCACTCACCCAACCCCAGAAACCAATTGCCTTCCCGCAGACATTTAGTACAATGAAAACTGTTGATTCTCAGAGTGTGAACTGATTCGTGAACAATTCGTTCCTTTATTGAGTATAATGTACAGTGCCTCTTTACAGTATCTGGTGTTTTAAAAAAAAATACTGCTTTTTTATTGGCTACTTTGCCTTGGTCTAAATGGGTGCCTGCCAGCTGTCGGTTTCTGTCTAGTTTGTTTTGAGTGCCCGAATCATCAGCCAATGTGCTGGGTATTTTTGTAGCTGTTTTTATTCTTTCCAGCCCAACTGAATGTTGGAGAGAAGTTACGTAAAGGTTTCAGGTCTTTTCCATTAGGAGGATAACTGTCTAAAAACTGAACAGAATGGGAACATGTTTTATGTAAGAGAAGATGGCAAAAGAACAATTGAATATAAAAATGGGCTGCATCTGGCTGGGTGGCTGCAGGGGAAAAAGGTCTTCCCAACCCCTCTGTGGGACTTCAGAGCTGAGTTAGTCCCCTTTTGCCAGATGCTTGAAAGCAAAGCATGTTTCACCAAGCAGAGAATTCTGGCAGTAACCAGGATGACCTCATTAGACTCTTCTGGATGATTCCTGCAATATTTATTTGGCATAAGTCTGAGTCATTGCCTGAATCGTGGATTCATGTAGATTTTGGTCTGGTGGCATTTGTCCATGTTCATTATTTTAAAACAAATGTTTTAGCAATAAGGAGATCTGTCACAGATTCAGAGACAGAGCCATATACTGTAATGAATTGCAACATAGTACCTTTAACCAGGTTAGTTGATTAAGCTTTGGTTAGTTGACTAAGCATTAATGAGTTGGATTTACATAATGTGTACATTCTGAGACTCTGGGACTGTATTTGACTCTCAAAACTTTTTGGGTTATGGGGATGTCCAGGCTTTGTTTCCAACTTGTAATTTCTGAGATTTTAATTTCTTGAAATTTTTAAGTATGAATAGGAAATACGATTTGCTACAATTAATTTTAACTAAGAAACAACGTAAATAATGTTGAATCAAGTTTAGCTGTCAGTCCTGCCCTAGCTTGGTCTCTTAGGAAAGAAAGACTCACGACTCCATGGGTAGCAAAGAGTACAGGTAGTCTTCAACTTACAACACTTCATTTAGTGACCATTCAAAGTTACAACAGCACTGAAAAAAGCGACTTACGACTGTTTTTCACATTTAGATCGTTGCAGCATCCACATGGGGTCACATCAGGGGTGGGTTCTAAATTCTTTTACTACCGGTTCTGTGGGCGTGGCTTATTTTGTGGGCATGGTTTGTTGGTCATGTGACAATTCTTTAGGATTTAGCAGAGGTACTAGTCTACCAGGCTTTTAACTGCTTGCAGAGCTGTACTGGTCTACCCATTCGTTTTTGGAGCGCACTGGTCTACCACTACACTGCCTTTTAACACTGATCAGCTGTAGGGCGGCCCTTTGAAGCCCCGCGGCAAGAGTTTGAACAGTTTTTTTTCTTCTAGCCGATCAGCTGGGACTTGGGAGGCAGTGAATAGATTGGTGGTGGGGCCAAATAAAAGGTAAGAATAACGCGGGGGCGGGCGGGACGGCTCAGGTCCCGAACAAAGAGAACCGGTTCAGTGACATCATATCATCACCGCTACCGGCTCGGCCGAACCGGGAGGAACCCACCACTGGGTCACATGATCAAAATTCCAGAAATAACTGACTGTAGAAACCACAGACTGACATAAAGCACTTTGGGCTTGTTGAATTAGTAACTGTATGTCATCAACCTGGTGGTTTTAGTAACCTCATAGAGAAATGTTTTCAGGATGATTTTCCCTAGCCTGTTGCTTCATATCTCCCATTTCTGTTTCATTCAGGTCCATCTGCCTTCCTGCTCAACATCCTTTTTTCTTTCCTTTCACCCTTCTCAAGAGAGCTAGGTTTTCGCATAATATATCCAAAATATCTTAATTTGACTTTGGTCATTTGTGCCTCAAGTAAGAACTCTGGATCGATTTGTTCAATAATCTATCTCTTGTTTTCTTGAAGTTGGACATCCCTGATATAGTTACTGGCTGTTCTGTCCTGATAGCGCACTCACGCGCACTACACAAACACACACCACTTGCTATATCTAAGTATATTGGTGGGGGGCATTCTGCAGTTTGTAATCCTGTAAGCGTGCTGGTATCATGCTGGAGAAAACAACCCTCACTCAACATTGACCTTCCTCCCACCCTCCATAAAATAAAATACAACTCATGCTGTGGTTGGTAGTACCTGCGGCTGAAGAGTTCTGCTCCACAGCCAAGCCCTCCCCATAGAAACAATGCAGCTGTAAGCTAGGAGTCTGGTCCTACAGAGAGGATTTAATAGATGGGCAGGGAGATTTCCAAGCATACATTTTCTTCTTCAGGGTTACTGCTTGAGTTTTCAGTTGATAGACTATCCCCTCCTTTATCTCCACCCCTCCTTTGTATTTGCTGTTTTCCTCTAGCTCATTAATGTACTTCTGCTTAAAAACCCTCTAGTTATCCTTGTCACAAAGCTGCCTGCTGCAAGGCAGGGGCTGATAATGTACCTGCTGGCCAGACTTCACACTGCACACATGCATTTCCACTCGGCTTTGGGGTGTTTAAAGAAAATAATCCACCAGGAAAAATATATATATATACTGGTTCTATTGCAAAGTAGCCCTTTAAAGGACATTTTGCAATTCCTGATGCTCTTCTTTGAACGTGTAAACTCGTTTAATACTAAACCATAGCATCCGTTTTATGTACTTCCCACAAATGCATGTTGGTGGCATCTATGCTTGGGGTGGAATGAGGCGGGATCTTTATTTAGTACATACGTTCAAGTCACTGAATTTAGGCCGTTTTCCCCTAAGACACATACCAATAATTTAAAACTAAATCAGACGCCTACCAGATTGTGAGCGCTTCCAGATATTAATCACAATAGTCAATAACAGATGAAATCTCATGCACTCTGCAGCAAGATGTTGTGGCTTTCTCTTGGCCAGAATATCAACCAGTTATTCTACCTAAGCCTGGGCCAGTGGTGGGTTCCTCCCGGTTCGGTCCGGTTCGGCCGAGCCGGTAGCGGTGACGATATGACGTCACCAAACCGGTTCTCCACCCTCCCACCCCCCACATTATTCTTACCTTTTATTTGGTCCCACTCCCAATCTATTGCTGCTTCCTGAGTCCCAGCTGATGACTAGAGGGAAAAAAGCTGTTTAAACTCTTGCCACGGGGCTTCAAAGGGCCGTCCTACAGCTGATCAGTGTTAAAAGCAAACAAATGAGTCGGGTCATAAGTGCGAGGACTGGTCATAAGTGCGAGGACCTTCCAGAAATGACTCTGACCAGCTAGCCACACCCACCTAGTCACATGACCTCCAAGCCACACCCACAAAATAAGCCACACCCACAGAACCAGTAGTAAAAAAATTTAGAACCCACCCCTAGCCCAGGCACTTAATATGCTGCACAAACACAAACACACAAACACACACACACACACACACACAATATTTAATGAATTTTCCCTTTCTTGTCCACCTCTCATCCTGTTTTGCAGTAAACTTGATCCTCCCTCATCTGATTGCTTTACTTCTGCATTGTAACACTTTCAGTTTCAATTCTATTCCCTTAATTTATTTTTTCTTCTTTTTTTCCTTGGATCTTCCAGAAACGTCAAAATTTTCCCAAAGAGGTAGATAGGTCTTTCCTATTTTCCAGTGTCCCCATTTTGGCTGCAGATATAGTGGCCCTCACCGCATATTTACAAGGGCTCTTATAGTTGCTGCTTCTAGCTAGCTTCCCAATCAACTTACAGCTTCCCTACAAGATGTTCCCTACAGAAGGATCTTGACAGACTTGAACATTGGGCGCTAGCTAACAAAATGAAATTCAACAGTGAAAAAAACAAGGTTCTACATTTAGGGAAGAAAAACAAAATGCACAGGTTCCGTATATGTAGTACCATGCTCAATAGTAGTAATTGTGAGAGGGATCTTGGAGTCCTAGTGGACAACCATTTAGATATGAGCCAGCAGTGTGCAGCAGCTGCTAAAAAAGCCAACACAGTTCTGAGCTGCATAAACAGAGGGATAGAATCAAGATCATGTGAAGTGTCAATACCACTTTATAATGCCTTGCTAACATCACACTTGGAATACTGCATCCAGTTTTGGTTGCCACGATGTAAAAAAGATGTTGAAACTCTAGAAGGAGTGCAGAGAAGAGCAACAAAGATGATTAGGGGACTGGAGGCTAAAACATATGAAGAACAGTTGCAGGAACTGGGTATGTCTAGTTTAATGAAAAGAAGGACTAGGGGAGACATAGCAGTGTTCCAATATCTCAGGGATTGCCACAAAGAAGAGGGAGTCAAACTATTCTTTAAAGCACCTGAGGGTAGAATAAGAAGCAATGGGTGGAAACTAATCAAGGAGAGAAACAATTTAGAACTAAGGAGAAATTTCCTGACAGTTAGAATAATTAATCAGTGGAACAACTTGCCTCCAGAAGTTGTAAATGCTCCAACACTGGAAATTTTAAAGATGATGTTGGATAACCATTTGTCTGGGTTTCCTGCCTGGGCAGGGGGTTGGACTAGAAGACCTCCAAGGTCCCTTCCAACTCCTATTCTATTCTATTCTGTTCTGTTCTGTTCTGTTCTGTTCTGTTCTGTTCTGTTCTGTTCTGTTCTGTTCTGTTCTGTTGGGCCAGTTTCTCTTCCCTCTTCCTCTCTCCTAACTTTGCCTAATTCATAGGATTATTTCTGAAAGTAAAAATATAACATGCCAGACAGCTGTTACTTTATGCTTTCTGGAGAAATGACTTCATCATCATCACGCTCATGATTACCATTGATACAGGAGATCAGATGTCCAACCTCTCATCGGTTTTCCTCAGCTTGGTGTCCTCAGATGTGGTGGGATTACAACACTGAGCCATTCAGAGACATCTGGAAAGCTCTCCTACTTGCAAAATGTGTGCCTATAAATGAAATAGATTTCCGTCTTCAGGGGGCTCACATACCCTTGGCTTTCCACGAGCCAGTCTGGAAGTGTTTGAGAGAAAAAAACCTTAATGTTTGTTGTGCTTCTCTCCATGTGTGTTTCCCCCCCTCCTTTTACCAGATAACCATGGAAACAGGGCAGCCTTCTTGCATTTCTGCTCCTCCTGACAGCTGGCTGCCTTGGCACAAGCCTGTAACTAGATTAAGTATCAAATTCTGCAACCAGTGGGAAAGAGAAAAGTGAACAAACGCCATTCAAGCTGCCATAACCCTTCATCTTTTCAGATGGCGAAGTGTTTTCGGACCACATGCTGCCAGCTGCAGACTGAAACTTAGAAAGGGCAGCTGTGTTTTTAAATCATTTCTCCGATACTTGATGAACTGAAACTTCATTAAAGACAGTTGGTACCATTTGGAGCATAACACACGTTGCTCTCCAGGCACTTTGATTTTATGTAAATGGAGGGACATATCGGACTCTTTGAAGCTCCTTTGTAGAACTGGAGAAAACCATGGTTGAAGTTAGCAATGGAAGACCAAGTTTGTTAAACGTTCAGAAGGCTTTGGGAAAGGAAGACTCTTCTAAAAACAGAACCATCTGTGTTCATTCTGTGAACCTTCACGGAGATCAAACACACACAGATCAGCATCTGGATGCTAAGATGCTTATTCTGAACCTCCAGTTCATCTAAAGGAGCTTCTCTTAGTAGATGATAGAACTGGGTGGGTCTATTCAGATGTTGCTAAACTCATTTCCAGTAGGTACAACCAGTTTGATCTGTTAGAACATAAGAGGAGCTCTACTTACAAAAGTATAGATTTATCTAGTCTAGCATTCTTTTTCTCAGGGGGCCAACCAGATGCTCCAAACTGGGCTTAACTTCTCCAGTGGGTCCATTGAAGTAAAGTAATTTAACTAATTGAATTTGTGATAATGTGTTTGCCACTTCAGCAAAGGGACATTCTTGTTCATTCTCCTGCACGGGATCCCCAACAACTCTTCCAGCATCTGGTCATGAAATCATGGATTAGTGCAAACGAGCAAAGATCTTTTTTTTCCCATTTAGCCTTTAATCCTTGGGAATAATTACTTGTTTCTCTTCTGCTGCTTGTATTTGAACGTAACTGTTCAAAGTCCAGGGTCTTGTCTCTTGTGAAGACTGTTTGTTCTGACCGATCTCTCTTCATTCTCTGCTTCTTCTTACAGGTTCACCTCTCCACAAACAGAGTTCCACGTCTTCCACAGGTGCCTCCGAGAAGCTGCCAGGGTCAAAAATTGCTGAGGTGGGCGATGATTTCCTGGGGGACTTCGTGATGGGTGAACGTGTTTGGGTGAATGGAGTGAAGCCAGGCATAATCCAGTATTTGGGAGAGACCCAATTTGCCCCTGGTCAGTGGGCAGGAGTTGTCCTAGATGACCCGGTTGGGAAGAATGATGGTTCTGTAGGCGGAGTGCGTTATTTTGAATGCCAGCCACTCCAGGGGATCTTCACGAGGCCCTCCAAGTTGACCCGCCAACCCACGACGGAGGGTTCAGGAAGCGATGCTCATTCTGTGGAGTCTCTGACAGCTCAGAACTTGTCCTTGCACTCCGGGACTTCCACCCCACCTCTTTCCACTCGCGTCATTCCTCTGCGGGAGAGCGTTCTCAACAACACCATGAAGACTGGAAATGAATCTGGTTCCAACCTCTCGGACAGCGGATCGGTGAAAAAAGGGGATAAAGACTTCAGACTTGGGGACCGTGTCCTTGTAAGTTCCTTTTTAGTATTTCTTGAATGAGCGATACTTTAGGAAGTTCTGGGGGCTTAATTTTTTTGAATGGAAAAAGTTGATTAGGATTTTTTTGACTGTCATTCCCATTTTCCTTTGGAAATTCACTGTTGGCACAAGGGGAAAGAAAGGCAAACTCCCTCATCCTTGAAGACATAAAAGACACGGTTATGTTAAAAAAAAGAGTATGAATAATGATCCCGCATGCATAGAGAAAGGATGTACTTTGAGGGCATAAAAATTAACTCTGTTTTTCCTTCCCCCGAATAATTACTTGTTAATTGATGAGATATGTTGCCTTACATTCACTAAGAATATATTACTTATATGCTGTTGAAAATTATTTCTTAAAATATTTCTCAGCTGCTTCCCATTTTAAAAAAATCTCAAAACATTTTACAATAAAATAGTAAGATAAAACAGCATGTGATAAATACGAGCATTAAAACAGTGGGTAGAATATATAGAGAACAAACAGCTGTATCTGTAAGTTAGGATATGCAAATATTATTAACTAGCTGGACGCCCGTGCTTCACTACAAAACTATGTGATCGGGCGTGATAAATTGACACTTAAAGCCTGAAACTTAATGTAGAATGTGTAACTCTGTAGCATCAGAGTGCGTTAATATAAGGCAACTGGGAGTTGGAACAGAAGGGGTGGGGGAGTAGAATGTCCCAGCCTGCAGGCTGGATGAGTCATGTGCTGGCCACGCCCACGCCCGGTTTAGCGAAGCGGTACATCAGAGCGTGTTAATATAAGGCAACTGGCAGTTGGAACAGAGTTCTTTTCAGGTGGGGAGGGGGAGTAGAATGTGTAGCTCCTTAGCATCAGAGCGTGTTAATATAAGGCAACTGGCAGTTGGGACACAGTTCCTTTCAGGTGGGGAGGGGGAGTAGAACGTCTAACTCCTTAAACATCAGAACTTGTGAATATAATACTGTATATGAAATACTAATGATCTGATGGTCATTTCGAAAAATCCTTTCTTAGCGAGCACCTAGACGCCAAGGGGAACATACGTGCCAAATTTTAAGTTTGTAGGCTTTACCATTCTGGAGATTTTGTGATGAGTGGTATTTGGCTTTTATATATATATAGATATATACATTTGGGTATTTTTGGCAGGGCCTCCCTTGCTTTCTGGGTGCTGCATGATGGTAGATAGATTCTTCCATGAGCAAGTTTCCTGTGTCTTCTGCCAGGGAAACTTTAGATTCTCTATGAGCAAGTTAGCCATGCAGTAAGACATGCCTATATGACGGAGTGATGGACTCAGAAACATTCCCACAGATCTGTGAAGATGGTTTTCAGAGGTTTATGTGAAAGATTTCAGGTTGAGCCCCACAAGCTATGAAAAAGATCTTGAGGAGCAAAGGACCTGATGCTAGATGAGTAGAGATGCCAGATATCTTTGCAGGCTTTGTAGGCTCTTTCTAAGTGTGACTCCACTGTCTCTTTCAACATCACGTCCCAAACTCATCACAGCATTTTTTCCAGGCAGGAGAGAGAAAAATCCAGAGCAAAAATTCTTGTTTGCTTGTTGGTTAGAATGCAATATTGCAGGCTAACACCGCCTACAGCCAGCAGTTCGATCCTGACTCAAGGCTCAAGGTTGACTCATCTTTCCATCCTTCCGAGGTCGGTAAAATGAGGACCCAGATTGTTGGGGGCAATATGCTGACACTATAAACCGCTCAGAAAGTGCTGTCAAGCACTATGGAGCGGTTCATAAGTCTTAAGTGCTATTGCTGTTTCCTTTGCTGTATAGGGTATCATTCTAAATTGCCTCCTAGCCCACTTTTTGAGCTATGAAATTGGAAACGGGGATTGCACAGTTCAGAGGGCCATTCCTGGACAATCAAAAAGTCAGAAATGAGACTGTCTGGCTGCTTGTTTAAGCAGCCGCCTTCATGCTGATTAGGGCAAGTCAGGCAAACGGCTGTAGCAGCAATTGGTCTTCCTGCAGGGAGTAAAACAGTTGTTCCTTTGACAGTGGAGCCCTTTTTATTCTTTTCTTTTCTTTTTTAGTTTTATTACTTCCTTTAATCTTTTTAATTGTAATGTTTAATCAAATTACTATTGAAAAAACGGAGCAGTACTGGGACTGAGTGATCTGTAGACCTCAGCAAATTTCTCTCCAGTTTCACAGACATGCGCTAAACTTTTGGCTCATTGAGTAGCAGAATAAATCAGGCAGAGGCCTAACTTGATTATAATAAGTGTATTTTTATATAATATATGGTTATATTTTTAACCCACCTTTTTAATGTATATTTTGATCAGCTGAAAAATAAAAGACAAAGGAGATTAAACAGTAGAGAAATGTATGTGCCTCGTGTATATGTCATTTTAAGCAATAATTTCAGGCAGGGGTGAAATCCAGCAGGTTCTGACAGGTTCTGAAAAACCGGTAGCGGACATTTTGAGTAGTTCGGAGAACCGGTAGCAGAAATTTTGAGTAGTTCAGAGAACTGGCAAATGCCACCTCTGGCTGGCCCCAGAGTGGGGTCGGAATGGAGAATTTGCAGTATCCTTCCCCCAGGAGTGGGGAGGGAATAGGGATTTTGCAGTATCCCTCCCCCAGGAGTGGGGTGGGAACGGAGATTTTGCAGTATCCTTTCCCTGCCATGCCTACCAAGCCACGCCCATCAAGCCACACTACCTTGACCAAGCCCACAGAACCGGTAGTAAAAAAAAATTGATTTCACCACTGATTTCAGGTGTAAAAAATTTGGCATAAATTATTAATGCTCCTGTCTTCACAGAGGTGATGGCTTTATACCAGGGATCTCCAGCCTTAGCAACTTTAAGCCTGGTGGACTTCAACTCCCAGAATTCCCCAGCGAGCAAAGAATTCTGGGAGTTGAAGTCCTCCAGGCTTAAAGTTACCAAGGTTGGAGACCCCTACTTTATACTGTTTGGGCAAACCAGGGTTTATTAGACAATAAAGCAGGCTGGTGCGCTATATTAATTTGCATACATTAAGCCAGAATCTCGATTTCAAATGTGGTGTTTTGTTTTTTGTTCTTGACAAGAGAAATATATATATATATATGTGGTGGAGGGGTGGGTTCTACTTACCTTTACTACCGGTTCGCAACAGGATCGCGCGTGCGTGAGCGAAGCGAGCACACGCGCCTTCTGATGACATCAGGGTCAGTGGGCGGAGTCTCCCACCGGTTTTACTACCGGTTCTATAGAACTGGTCTGAACAGGGGGCAACCCACCACTGATATGGTGTGAGCCTCGGCATAGTGTTGGTCTACATTCACTCTGCAGACGGGTGTCTGCAGTAAGGATTAAATGAATGTAAAATAAAAATGGCAATATCAGCCAGGCAATATCAAGGAAAGAATTTGTAGGCATCTTAGTCCTCTATTGCCTTTCCTCAGATCTGTGGGCTGAGGCTACAACACCTTTCTATGATTGATAAGCAGTCTTTGCTTATATAGGTAATCCTCGCCTTACAAAAGGTCACTTAATGAGCATTCAAAGTTACAACGGGATTGAAAAAAGTGACTTAGGATCATTTTTCACACTTACGGCCGTTGCAGTATCCTCACAATCACATGATCAAAATTCAGATGCTTGGCAGTTGTCTCATATTTATGACGGTTGGCAGTGTTCCTGGGGTCATGTGATCACCTTTTCTGACCATCTGACAAGCAAAGTCAATGGGGAAGTCGGATTCATTTAGTAACTGTGTTACTAACTTAACAGCAGCAGATTCAGCTAACAATTGTGGCAAGCAAGGTCAGAAAATGGGGCAAAACTCACTTAACAAATGTCTCACTTAGCAACAGAAAGTTTGGGCTAATTTATTTTTTTTTGCTTATAATTTATATGCCGCCCTTCTCCAGAGACTCAGGGTGGCTTACAATGCATTAAGCAATAGCCTTCATACTTTTGTATATTTATACAAAGTTGCCCTCACAATCTGGGTCCTCATTTCACCTACCTTTGAAAGGATGGAAGGCTGAGTCAACCTTGAGCCTGGTGAGATTTGAACTTGCAGTAATTGCAAGCAGCAGATGTTAATTACAGTGCTTTAGTCCACTGTACTACAGGCTCTTCCTTGTGGTCATAAATCGAGGACTACCTGTATATTACAGATAACTCAGAGATTGATATTAGATTCAGATTTACTTTCTGGCCAGTCTTTGCTCGGCAAATTATAATCTGTATTGATTTACAGATAAGCCCACCCATGGATAAGCAGATCTCGAATTTTGAACCAAAATACCAAGAAAAATGTGCCACTCGGAAGCACCTGCAATTTTCATGCTATTTTGGTTCAAAATTTGAGGGTCTGCTTATCCGCAGATAGAAATGTGCACACTTCCATACAGTAGATATATACCATATTTTTCGGAGTATAAGATGCACTGGACTATAAAATGCACCTACCTTTTTTGGTGAGGAAAAGAAGAAAAAGAAATCTCCCTCTGCCTCTGAGCAGTTTTGCCTCATTACAGTAAACAGCCTGCTTTACTTTCATTTTCGTTTTCAGCATAGCTTGATTAGCAGAGGGGGAAAAAAAATCTGCTCCAGCAATTTTCTTCCTTGCAGCAAGCAGCAGAGCCCTGCACAAAAGAGCTGAGAGCAAAACAGCTGAGAGTTGGGAGGCCGATCCAATCAACTTGTGCTAATTAGGCTGTGCTGAAGCTGAAAGGAGCTGTTTTTTCTTGCTGTTTGCTGCAAGGAGGTAACTGCTGGGAGGCAGAGGCCAAAGGTGGGGGGCAGCGGGTGGGCGGTGCTACATTCGGTGTATAAGACGCACCTAAATTTTCACCCCCTTTTAGGGGGGAAAAAAGGTGCGTCTTATACTCCGAAAAATACGCTAAGTAGTCCTTGATTTACAATCACAAATGGAACCAGAATTTCTGTTTACTGAGCAAGGCAGTTATTAACTCTCACCCAATTTTACAATCTTTTTTGCCATGGTTCTTAAGTGAATCACTGCAGTCGCTAAGTG